GGCAAACATTCTCCCTACATCGCTTTAAGCTCTGATCCAACATTAGATTATTATGTTGTTGTCACCTGTAAGTTTCAGTCAGATTCTTTCACATGCTCGCAGAACAAATTAAGAAATTAGTGCTGTCAGCGTTAATCCCGTTAAAACTACGTTAACGCCATAACAGCATTAACGCGGCAAATCTCCGTTAGCGAGTTACCACGTATCGCCCCGTGTGTGGGGCTGCGCGGCATCAACACGTTACCCTGAGTGGGTTTCTCTGAGTACTCTGGCTTTATCCCACAATATGTGACACAGATAAAGTACTTAAAACACTGTGTGAATGTATGGTTTAATGTGGCTCATACTTTAAGGTTCTTTAAGCTTTAAGTTTCTCTGCGCTCCAAAATTTGGAGGTGTGACCGTGGCAGTGTATCCCGGTAAGAAGAACCAATATCACACTGGAAAAAAAAATCTAAAGTTACCAAATGAGGAGTGAATGAAGCCCCATGTTCAACATGCAATCTTTGTGTACTTGTATTGATGTCATAAATAGAACGGTGAATCATAAATGGATTGGTGCCGATATATTTCTACTCTTACTGATCTTAATCTGTTTTGCATAACGTCTGAACAATGATTTCTAACTCGAACTTTCATATCGTCAGCAGTGGCAGTTCCTCGACCCTCTTCCGTTGCTCAGAAGACGTTTGTGAGTCTTCATCACCTGTTGAAAAGAGCCCATAATACCAGTCTGTGATACTGTCATCCCAGAAGAACTGCAAAACCGTTTCTGCATAGACTCGACCTGAGAACTGTTCCACAATATCTTTGGTCATGTTTACTTTGAAAAATCAAAAATATTACTGAGACATCCTCCAACCACACACACCCATACTTTGCTCCATTGCGGTTTATTTCACACCTCAAACATTTAGTAAACAATTAAGCAAATACAAGTAATCTGCAATAAATTACAGGTATTAAGAAAATGAACTACTAACTCTTTTACAATACGTCCGCACCTACACGGGTATTTTTGAAAATGCAGCTGTTTCGTCCACGCGTAAACGGTGTTTCAAGTAAATGAAAACAGATTTTTTTAAAACTAATTTTTTGCGTTTACGTGTGGATGAGGAATACAGAGTTCTTCACGCAACGTCAAAGGTATGGGCCTTTTTTCACGTCCCTGTGCGCCACGTTATTGTTTACAGGAGATGAATTGCAGAATGGCAGATAGTCAGATTAACAGTATTTTGTCTCTATCTTCAGGTTTTACATGCTTACACAAACACAGGCAGTTACTGTCCCTGTATTTAGAAAGGCTGAGGCGTCACGGTGTAATTATTTTACATGTAGTTTTTTCCCCCCCTGTGTAATAATATTCAACATTGCAATCAAATCAAAAAATGCCTCTCTGTGCAAAATGGGTTTAAAAACATAAACAGCTGTGGGATCCCGTTTGTCCGATTTGAACAGGGGGAACAAATCGTGGCAGGATCAGCCTGATATTATTTGTAAACCACTGTAACTTTACTGTATAAAGAGCTAACATCTCCAAAATGTCAGGAGTAGTTATTTATTACAAGAAGTGTTTGTGAACTAAAATTCAAGAATGTGGGATCCTGTTTGTCCGTGATTTAAACAGCCCAGCGCGATTATGCAGGGGAGACCTACCTTGGCACTTGTGCAGGTGAAGCCAAAGGGAAGACATGCTTCACCATATTTTCTAGTCTTTGGCTTAGAATGAAGTTGGTTTGGAAACATATTCAGTGATGCTTCATCTCCTGCTTTGCGTTTGTGTGGGCGCCCCCTGCTAGCAGTGTCCAAGCATTGTTTGTTTGTTTTTTTTTTTTTGAAGTGACCATCTGGGAGGGGCTCAGAGTAGAGTTGCTACTCCACATTGAAAGGCATCTGACAATAATGCCTCCTGGGTGACGTGTTCTGGGTAGTGCAGTGCAGACCCAGGACACACTGGAGAGATTTTATTTATAAGCTGGAGAAGCTGGCTAGGGAGTGGGAGGTCTGGGCTTCTTTGTGTAGGCTGCTGCCCCCGCGACCCGGGTAAACTGAAGAAAATGGAAGGATGGATCAAAGCATTTTGTTAACACTATAAAAAAGTGCTACATAGTTCTTCTCATTACTGTGGAGGACAATGCTTGTCTGACAAGGGTGCCTGGGGAGGTGATTTCAACACACAGCCAAGACATATCATGTATCAGATATCCTGGCAGCAGTGGCGCAAGAATGTAGTCTAAGCTGTGCGGTGCACTTTGGAGTGCTTGGACCCTTACATAGCTGTTTTACACCTCGGCTTCGGACAAATCACATGATGATTATTGGGTTAGTGACCTTCAGGACCATCTCCAAGGTCACAAACCAAGTCTGGGTTAAATGGGAGTCTCCATCAGTTGTTAGAACTGAAGAGGCTCCTTGATAAGAGCTGAAATGTCTTCACAAACCAAAAAGAGGTCCCTCAGACTACTGAAAACAGAATGGGCTATTTCCCCTATACTGTAGTGACAGCTGTGTTCTTATTTATTGTGTTCATGAGGTCAAACTGGCGATCACAGAAGTAGGAATGATGAAACGGCACGCTTTGACTCTTTGCTTTTATTCAGGTAGCAGCATCAATCAGCACTGTCCTACTTACACACTGCAGCCCCACTCAGCCCTGCAAGGCTAACAGATGAAGACCGAATATCATACAACAGTCACTTAGATAGCTTCTTCACACTCATACACACTAACCTGCACCAAGACCTTGTGCAGCTTCCTGTACAGGGTGAGAGATCACTGGGATGTGTGTGAGAGAGAGGCCTCTAGTTTCACATCAGTATCAAGTTTGTGTGAGTCCAGGGACTTGTTTGGAGACTAGGACCGAGTGACAAGTTGCTGCCTAATGACGCGTTCACTCTGATCCTGGCTGGGACCTGACAGAGGCCGCGGTGCCTCCAGCTGCTCAAAGTGGAAGAGTGAATCCATAACTGCAGCTGACTGCACCTTCAGTTAACAATTTTTACACGCCTAACCTGCAGGAAGAAGGACTGACGTGGATTAAAACGCATGTGTTAGTTTTATTACATTTTGGTTGCTTAGGTAACAGGTTGCTTTACCACCACACTCATGACTGAAGTACAGCAGGCAGCAGGAAACACAAGGGCAGCAGCTGTGCTCAGATAATCAGATTGTCTTTTCCTAGCTGAGTGAAGCTGCACAGAAGAATGTGAGCCATAATTATATCAGGGTGAATTCAGGAAACGTGGTTCAACGCTGCCTTTATTTCCTATAACAGGAAAGCAGTGATGGTGTCCTATAAGTGGACTGACAAGCAACACAGATCATCATCTACATCCTAGTCAAAGATATATATATTTTGAACAATTTGTTATGCCCATAAATGAACTCTTCTTGAAATGACCTTTGCATGAAGCTCATTCCCGTGTGAAACGCTTTGTAAAGCAGACTTAATAAAAATGAATAAAAAAGGTAAATGGACTGATTCTTATATAGCACTTTTCTACTCTCCTGGAGCACTTTATACAACACGCCACATTCACAGAAGCACTTTCCTTTCAGTGCTTCCTAGCTAACACTCACACACTGATGGATGCTTGAGAGACCCTGCAACTTGGAGCCAGGGATCGAACCATTAACCTTGCGATCAGTAGATGACCGGCTCTTCCTCCTCAGCTACAGCCACCCCGGGATGATACCTGGGGTGGCTACCTTATTAGGTATTGCCAAGATTAAATAATTTGACTACAGCAATGTGTGAAGTGCACAGGAGGAGCGATCGGACCTTTACACAGCCGTTTCACACTGTGACTCCTGGGGCAAATCACATGATGATTAGTGGGTCAGCAACTTTCAGGACCATTTTAAAGGTGACAAAACAAATCTGGGTTAAATACCGGGATTCTGCTTCACTACTTCTTTCCTCACCTGACCTCATGATGTTTTCCACTGAAGTCAAAACGTTCAGTTTCACTTTCACTGTATTGATTACAAAATTATTCCTGCAGTGATTTGTGTTCCTAATGTCTTTAGACCCGTATCTAACTTTAGTTTTTCTTTATAATATCATACAGGACATTAATGCCCAGTGTTGTTATCAGGACTATGGCTGCCAGTCTGTCCACAGCCTCTCCAGGTAACATGAAATTAGTGGCACAACATTCATACCAGACCAATAATAAGTTGACGATACACCAACTGATGGTGTGACACCTCACAAACAAGAGAGCGCACACTGGCACTGTGTTATTGGCTCATTTGGCTGCTATAGTATCATTGTAGGGTCTTTACCTTACATTAAAGCACCTTCAGGGACCTATTATTGTGATTTCGCGCTATATAAAAAAACCTGAATTGAACTGCTGTCAAACTAGAGGCCAGAGGGAGAAAGAACGAGTGTGAGGAAGAAAGTGTTTGGGACTCACCTTACTGGAACTGGTAGATTTTTTACAGATTTCCCATCCACCCATCAACCATTTAACCCACTCATAGATAATGCTGACTGTTGGGCCTTGTTGCTGCACTCTGTTATGGGAGGCAGTTAACTAAGCGACAATGCTTCCATCTGCTGTCACATTCTGTAGTCGTACCAAAACCGAAGACACACTACAGGGCTGATGTGGAGATCCCCTGAAAATTAACCAAGCAGATGGTCTCCAGACATTATTACACTTTTAGCTTATTTGTCATACGAGTAGGAAGATTTATTCTGATCTGTATCAGCCATGAAACAAATTCAGCAGCAGCAGATGGTCAGATGGCTGCTACCCTCAGTATCTGAGTGTGTCTCACTCGTCACTACAAGGTTTTTTAACTCTCTGTCAACATGTTGACCTCTTTGTCCTGCTGCCTGCAGATCGGTTGCATTGGAGCCGGGGCTGTGCTGTCAGTCATACTGCAGCTTCCTGTTACTTCATAGTTTTGGAAAGCTTAGTCCACAGTGCTCTACACCCTGCTAAGCACTGTCCTGGCAACACACACACACACACACACCTACCTTCACATACACATACAAACACACACCCACACACACATAATGTTACACATAGCCATAACACTGTCATTGGTCTTAGAAATATGGCAAGGCAATATTTTTGTTTGCTGTCTATCATATTCCATAACTGAAGCTTGAGGCCCACACACCTGGGGCCCAGCCCCAGCAGTCCCTTGTGCGATCATTCATAGCTTTAACATCCTGGGAGAAGGAAACACTTCACACATTTTCTCCTTTATCCACAACTGATGACAAAGTTGGAACAAAAGAGCCCCTGCAGTGTCACACTCAGTGTCCAATGTTCTGAGGGACTCAAGTCTCAAAGTATCCCCAGGACCCACACAGGCTTCCGTTCACACTATGCTCCCCTCGTGCAGCCTGTGGAGCATGTCAGTAGTTCAGAGTTGGGGCTATGAGGGTCCGCAGTGGTGGCTAGCTGTTGTTTTCAGCCGTCATGTACTTAAGGGCGGCAAAACCGTACCGCCGCGACATGTTCTGTTGGAACTCCTCCTTCAGGGTCTTCAGGCAGACCCGGTACTGCTTATTGGAGCGGAACTTGGTGATGTCAAAGCTGGGTGCATGAGGCATATGGATCATGAAAGCATTGGGCAGAACCACAAATTCATACTCCTGTGGAGAGAAAAGAACAAACTTTCAGTCTGAATTCCTCAGGAATCACCGTTCATACCTGAGCCCATCTGATCTGGTAACATGTAACTGTATGAGCCACATTCCTCTTGGTCGTGCATAAGAAGCTAAAATTCTCAGTCGAACTGAACCGAAGTGCGCAGTTAACATAATTACTATTCTCATATTTTCAACAATGAGCAACACCTGTCACAGGACACACGCAGACATTAGATATAGTGACAATAAAAATTTTATAAACACAAAATAGTTTCTATGACTTTTAGAAGTTGCATTTTTATGCTCCAAAAAAGGATGTTTGCAGAAAGACTATTGTTAAGCACTTCAGTCAAACCTGACCTATGACCTCTTAAAATTAAAACCCAGTCATAATGAGTCGCATGCTGATTTCTTCTTCAGCTAAAAGAGAAGAGGACCTGTCACTGTAAAGCCATACAACCTGTCCAATCATTTGACCGACTGAGCTTTTGAGCTTTCTTTATCCTCAAATCCTCAAAATACAAAAATAAATGTGGTTAAATTACACAGTGGAAATCAAAATTATCTTAAGTTAAGTTATCCTAATGGAATGGAATATAGTGGAAAAGGATTTCATCATTTGAAAATATTCTGTATCACATTATAAAACAAACTTAAATGAGAAATTTAAACGTTTTCCATCCATCGACTGCAGCTTGTCTGGGTTACAGAGGCAGTTGTCTCAGCAAAGATGCCCAGACCGCTCTCTCCCCAACTACTGAAAAATGTCCTTGTGTAACTACCTCCTTGACCTCATGCCCAGGGATAGACCAGTCATCCCTTTTCCCCACAATTTGCCTCCTCAAAGGAAAGGATGTCAGTGGGCTCAAAGAAACCCTCCTAATAAGTCAGTTAATAAATTGATACATTTTTGTACTACTCGGAATGCTTGAAGTGCTTTTTTCAATTTCTTAGCATCTAACATTGTTTCACACTCTCACACTCTGATGGGGAACAACGTGGGCTTCAGTATCTTGCTTTGATATGCAGACTTGAGGAAGTTGAGGGAGTGAACCCCCAACCTTCCACACGGTAGACAACCAGCTCCACCTCTCAGTCCACAGCCACACCACATTCACCACCTAACGATATCCTTATATGAAGTCAGCAGCTCTCTATCCTCACCACATACAGGTGAGCTGGAAGATGCTTCTCTATTCTTCTCTATTCACTTGACAGTTTGTCAGTTTGCCTTGACGTCAGTTAAAAGTCTTGTTCCATAGCATCACCAAACCCAGGTTTTTGCTTCAGCTACTGCCAGAGTCACTCTCTTTGTGACTCTGGCAACGTAGGGCCTACCATTACCTGTCAGCTGACTGTTCAGCGTATCCTCAGAATAATAGCTTGAGTATG